AATGATCAGACGCACTGAAATCTGTCATTTTGTTCAGGTAACAGTTTGTTTCCTAGTTGCTCTAACTTTTGGGTGAACACAGAGAAGAAGGAACTTCTGAACAATGGGTCAGATGGATTATTGTGTACTTTTGTTATTGTTTTGATGTAAGAGACATGAATTGCCTGTTTGACACAAACTTCCCACAGTTATTATGTTCATTATTGCTTTCACTGCAGTTGTACGTAATTTACTGAGTAGTTGTCAGTTTTGTGAATGACAAACAAAAAGGGGTCTCTTAATGAAAATGGTTGTTTTAAGGGATTATGTGAAGCAGCCTTAAATACGTCCCTCAGCTAAAGATAAATTAAGTGTTTCTATGCAACCTGGACTATTGATGTGTTGGTTGACAGCGAGACAGACCAACTGCTACTGAGGCTAAAAATCTGAAATCACGGGACAGAAGAAATATGAAGAGTTACTGTTAATGACAGGAACTACGAACAAAACTACCAAAATAAGACTGAAGTTGTAATAAAGCAGAACTATGATTGAACCTGCGGTTGAGTAAAGACCTGAGTCACTGTCGATGCTGTCAGACCTGAGTCACACTCTGCAGAGGACCATCCAAGGACGCAGGCTACAGACTCTGAATAAAGAATCAGCAGCTACCGACACAACAGCACACCTGTGAGACAGCAGGACGGTCGGTGGCGTGAGAGTATCGACTGAACCCGCTTTAAATTAAAAAGATTAAATACATTTACTCTGTACAGGCACAGAAAATGTATTCATCAGTCTGTAGCCACCATCACATTCATCCTATGGACATTAATGTCCTCACATGGAAATCCAGCTTTTATTTTCATAAAAAGAGTTTTCTATCATTTTGTAAAATCAAAAGCTCCAGAACATCTACTGAATGGACCTCGTGGTTGTTTTGTCAACTGCTGCTTCCAAGAACAACCTCCGTTTTTAAGTCAACATGGATGAAAAAGTCCTTAAAGTGATGAGAAAATGTCGACAACAAGGCGATCTCCATCTGCTGATGAAGATCATGAGATGTTATCAAAAGCTCCAGAAGAGCTACTAAAGAACTTTGTGGTTATTTCTTCTGTTGTTGATTATTTTTTCTTTAAATGAATCAATTAAGTCCAAAAAAGTTCTCTCAATCTGGACAACATTCAAAAATCTATCAGGCACCTTCCTGAGTGTCTTCTCTCTCCGTTTCCCTACAGTGCCAACAGTGGGCAACACTAACCTCAGCTTATAAATGGAGTCCGCTAACTACAAACAACCAACACCCACCACAACAGAGTCCAACACAGAGTCCAACACAGAGTCCACAACACAGAGTCCACAACACAGAGTCCACAACACAGAGTCCAACACAGAGTCCACAACACAGAGTCCACAACACAGAGTCCACAACACAGAGTCCAACACAGAGTCCACAACACAGAGTCCACAACACAGAGTCCAACACAGAGTCCACAACACAGAGTCCAACACGGAGTCCAACACAGAGTCCACAACACAGAGTCCACAACACAGAGTCCAACACAGAGTCCACAACACAGAGTCCAACACAGAGTCCAACACAGAGTCCACAACACAGAGTCCACAACACAGAGTCCAACACAGAGTCCACAACACAGAGTCCAACACGGAGTCCACAACACAGAGTCCAACACAGAGTCCAACACAGAGTCCACAACACAGAGTCCAACACAGAGTCCACAACACAGAGTCCAACACGGAGTCCACAACAGAGTCCAACACAGAGTCCAACACAGAGTCCACAACACAGAGTCTAAGTTCCTTCCTCCCCTCCCTTCCTTCCTTCCTCCCTCCCTCCCCCTCCCTCCTCCTTCCTCCCTCCCTCCCCTCCGGCCGCAGTCGTTGCTGATAAACAGAAGCCCGTGTGCTGTGATGAAGTCATGGATCGTGAACAGAGCTCCATTGATTTCTCCATCAGAACAAACGACCCTCAGCAACAGGCACAATGCTGCTGTGATTGAATCTGGAGCTTTCTATCAATGGTCTTCCTCTGTGTTTATAATCAAGAGCAGTTTGGAAGATTAATGTCTTTCACCTCTGAACAGATTCAATTAGAAACACAAACAAACGGCAGCGACGGTTAATGGAGAGAAAGTTCAGACACATCTTTAGTTATTAAATTAATCAAATGATCCCATATTTGTGGGTAAACCCCAGAATTTAACTGAAAGTACCTGTAATGTTTGTTGTTAAAGCTCCAGTGTGTCACACTGAGGACGATCAGTAATGTAATATAATATATAATAATATATAATATAATATAATGTATAATATAATATGTAATATAATATAATATACTATAATATATAATATAATATATAATATAATATAATATAATATAATATAATATATAATATAATATAATATATAATATAATATACTATAATATACTATAATATATAATATAATATATAATATAATATAATATACTATAATATATAATATAATATATAATATAATATAATATAATATAATATATAATATAATATAATATAATATAATATATAATATAATATACTATAATATATAATATATAATATAATATATAATATAATATAATATACTATAATATATAATATAATATATAATAATAGTGATTGTTTATAGCAGGTGCTGATAAACTTTAAAGAAACAGCCAATAACAAATAAAGCTACAAGAGAAAAACCAGACTCAGTTTACATAGAAACTGCTAACAGCTAACTGCTAACTGCTAACAGCTAACAGCTAACTGCTAACAGTAGCCTTGCCTCCCGCTGACTTTGTATATTTGTTAAAAATAATAAAGTTACAGACAGAATTGTATAAAAAGTTCCCAAAACAGGAAATAATCTGCTCAAATTTCAAAGTTCTTGTTATTGATCAATAAAATATCAAATACACATAAAATATGTTCAGTTGATTAAATGATAGAAAAGTGTGATAATGTTTGGGAACCACTGATCTATAATAATATAACTTATAACTGATATAACTTATAACTAATAAAACTTATAATAATATAACTTATAACTAATATAACTTATAACTAATAAAACTTATAACTAATAAAACTTATAATAATATAACTTATAACTAATAAAACTTATAACTAATAAAACTTATAACTAATATAACTTATAACTAATAAAACTTATAACTAATAAAACTTATAACTAATAAAACTTATAACTAATATAACTTATAACTAATAAAACTTATAACTAATAAAACTTATAATAATAAAACTTATAACTAATAAAACTTATAACTAATAAAACTTATAATAATAATATAAATATAACTAATGTAACTTCAGCAGCAGTCAGTAGTAGCAGCAGCAGTCAGTAGTAGTCAGTAGTAGTCGCTATACAAGTACAGGTCCATTTACCATTTAGTCATTAACAGCGGTCAGTAGCAGTCAGTAACAGTCAGTAGCAGTCATTAACAGCAGTCAGTAGCAGTCATTAACAGCAGTCAGTAGCAGCAGTCAGTGGCAGCGGTCAGTAGCAGTCAGTAACAGTCAGTAACAGTTAGAAGTAGTGGTCAGTAACAGCAGTCAGTAGTAGTCAGTAACAGTCAGTAACAGTCAGTAGCAGCAGTCAGTAGCAGTCAGTAGCAGCGGTCAGTAGCAGCGGTCAGTAGCAGTTGTCAGTAGCAGTTGTCAGTAGCAGTCAGTAACAGTCAGTAGAAGTCAGTAACAGTCAATAGCAGTCAGTAGAAGTCAGTAGCAGCAGTCAGTAGCAGCGGTCAGTAGCAGTCAGTAACAGTCAGTAGCAGCAGCAGTCAGTAGTAGTCAGTAGTAGTCGCTATACAAGTACAGGTCCATTTACCATTTAGTCATTAACAGTGGCCAGTAGCAGTCAGTAGAAGTCAGTAGCAGTGGTCAGTAGCAGTCAGTAACAGTCAGTAGCAGTCAGTAGCAGTCAGTAGAAGTCAGTAGAAGTCAGTAGCAGTCAGTAACAGTCAGTAGCAGTCAGTAGCAGTCAGTAGAAGTCAGTAGCAGCGGTCAGCAGCGGTCAGCAGCAGTCAGTAGCAGCAGTCAGTAGCAGCGGTCAGTAACAGTCAGTAGCAGTCAGTAGCAGTCAGTAGCAGCGGTCAGTAGCAGTCAGTAACAGTCAGTAGCAGTCAGTAGCAGTCAGTAGCAGCGGTCAGTAGCAGTCAGTAACGGTCAGTAGCAGCGGTCAGTAGCAGTCATTAACAGCAGTCAGTAGCAGCAGTCAGTGGCAGCGGTCAGTAGAGCAGTCAGTAACAGTCAGTAGCAGCGGTCCGTAGTAGTCAGTAGCAGCGGTCAGTAGCAGTCAGTAGCGGTCAGTAGCAGTCATTAACAGCAGTCAGTAGCAGCAGTCAGTAGCAGCAGTCAGTAGCAGTTGTCAGTAGCAGTCAGTAGCAGTCAGTAACAGTGGTCAGTAGCAGTCATTAACAGCAGTCAGTAGCAGCAGTCAGTGGCAGCAGTCAGTAACAGTCAGTAACAGCGGTCCGTAGTAGTCAGTAGCAGCGGTCAGTAGCAGTCAGTAACAGTCAGTAGCAGCGGTCAGTAACAGTCAGTAGCAGCGGTCAGTAACAGTCAGTAGCAGCGGTCAGTAGCATTCAGTAGCAGAGGTCAGTAGCATTCAGTAGCAGTCAGTAGCAGCGGTCAGTAGCAGTCAGTAGCAGTCAGCAGCAGTCAGTAACAGCGGTCAGTAACAGTAGGTAGCAGTCAGTAGCAGCGGTCAGTAGCAGTCAGTAGCAGCGGTCAGTAGCAGTCAGTAGCAGCGGTCAGTAACAGTAGGTAGCAGTCAGTAGCAGCGGTCAGTAGCAGTCAGTAGCAGCGGTCAGTAGCAGTCAGTAGCAGCGGTCAGTAGCAGCGGTCAGTAGCAGTCAGTAGCAGCGGTCAGTAGCAGCGGTCAGTAGCAGTCAGTAGCAGTCAGTAGCAGTCAGTAGCAGTCAGCAGCGGTCAGTAGCAGCGGTCAGTAGCAGTCAGTGTGAGGGCCATAAAGCTCACCCAGCCCGCTAATCTCCTGTCGGACGTTGAGTCGGTTCCTCTCGTCGGTGATGGCCTTCAGCATCTGCTGCAGAGACCCGTCCAGCTCTCCGTTCTCTTCCTCCGTTGGACCGACAGTCTTACACAAACCGGGGAAGGACGCCATCTCCGAGCTGGGATCATGACAGTCCGGGCCAACAGCTACCGACGGCCCCGGTT